AGCTACATACGTATGCCTAAAAAAACTAATCAAAATTAAAAAAAATACTCGAATCATATTATGTCTCGGCGGTGATCAGTATATATCTAGATCATCTGCACTTGAATTATTCCCAAATAATGTCCTCCATATATATAAAGTCGCCCACTGGTCACACCCACGTATACATATGGTCCATGTACAGGTACCACACATCTTTTTTTTCACGAAAAGAAGAAAAAAAAAGAGAGGGAATCTCAAATCCGGCCATCCGTTAGCAACGATACATCCAACTACTACATCACGCGCGAAGCTAATATGCACCTGCACGCTATAGTTAGTTATTTAGCTACGCAATCACTCTCACACACTTGTCAAAATAAAATTAAAAAAAAAAAATCACTCTCAAACTAGTAACTTCAAAGAAGTACTAGTAGAGTTGAATCCGATGATCAGAAATGACACAACACAACAGATGGACTGCTGAAGGTGCTGTTCATTCTTTCACAATGATGTGTGAGCCTCATGTACCAGCTAGGCTACCCAAAGGCTACTAGTGCCTGTGCCTGGTCTGGTCATCTCACACTCACACGCCTGCAGATGAAGCACGCAGTATTACACCAAGCTGGCAGTAGTACCAATCACAGTAGTGGCCACACGGCTGTTGGCCTGCTACAGTGGAGCTATACCTCTAGTCGTCTTAGGGGCATGGCACCGTGTTGGCCAACCACCATGGCTGTGGCAGTGGTAGTATGCCACAGGAATCAACATAACTGGGATCAAAGTGTGTGGCAGTGGCGGTGGCAGGGCCCTCTCCCTCTCTGTGTGCTGCAGCTGCTGGTGAAAGAAATGCAGAAAGAAAGCTGGTGTGTGTCCATGACGACCAGGGGAGGAAAGAAGGATAGACTACCCCTAGATTCCTCTCCTCGCTTTCACGCTTTCCTCCCCTCCCCTCTCGGCTCTCGCCGGAGTAGACCATAGGCGCACCTCGGTGGCGCAGGGCCCACGTGTCTGGGCCAAGAGCGGCAGCGGCGGTGTGCGTGTAGTCAGTCGTCGTAGAGCAGGGAAGGGAAGGAGCAGAGGAAGCTGCACGAGTGGTCTCTCGTTTCTCAGATTCAGTATTGCATTGGTTTCAGTAATATAGCAGATTTTTCTTGTCATTTTACGGATCGTATGCCCGAAAATCTGCAGGGTGTGTCATGTGTGTCTAGTGATCATAACAAGGGGTAATTTGATACTGCTACTTGGAGCTTAATTATGGAAAGAAAGCATGCATCAAACTGTTAATAATTAGTACACTACACTTCAAAGGCGTAAATAAAAGCGACACGGGAGGGAACTGAGCGCTTAACTGTTGTGGCAGGCAGGCAGGTAGGCATGGATGCACTATTTTTGTTCATGCCATTGCCTGTCCATATGCCCTTTTTCATGCGTGCACCGTACCGTCATCATTCAATTCACTGCCACGAGGGACCGACCAACAACTTGAGAGCACCGCATACGTGCAACATTCAGTAGTACACCTATGTGGTATATATGTAGTGAATTCGAAAAAAAAATACCAGTATATGTAGTCGATAGATAATATACTAGTATATGTAGTCGAAAAAAGAAAATACGGGCATTGCACATGTATGGTTTTGCATGCAGACATATATATATATATCATCATCGATGTAGCATTTGTATCTATATATATGTACACATATATGGCCCTGATCGTTCTCTTATAATCCATTTTTTTTAATTTATTTTTTTAGTCGAAATAGTGTTTTTCTCTCGTAATAAATCAGTCGAAACCGTATTTCGATTTGTTTTTCAGGTAAGCGAACCGGGCCATACTATGTAGTGGCTTCTGGACGACGCAGAACACGCATCCTGCTCAGAAGTGACGCATCACCAACTTTTGCATGCCATGTCGTCCATGAACGTGCTTGAAAGGCGGTGCTACTTGCCATAGGCTATTAACCCCCTACTTGATGGAGGCGTGGTTCAACGAAAGGTAATCAATCTCGTCAGCTTGTCAGCCGTCAGGGGCGAGTAGTGATTGGTGCAGCTAGGTGTATTATCCTAGCTCTTGTTTAGTTCGTCCAAACTTCTAAAAAGTACATTATGTAAAAAAAAGATTCTCCGTTACATTAAACTTACGGTATATGTATGGAGTACTAAATATAGACGAAATCAAAAACTAATTGCACAGTTTATTTTAACTTTGCGAGACGAATCTTTTGAGCCTAATTAGTCAATGTTTAGATAATAATTCATAAATATAAACGAAATACTACGGTAGGGAATCTTCACTATGTAAAATTTACCTACGTAAACTTTGTCCAACTAAACATCCGTGTGAACATACCCATCACCTGCCGGGTTGTTGAAACATCCGTGTGAACATACCCATCACCTGCCGGGTTGTTGAAACGATGAGACACGCCAGAAGAACCGGCACGATGAGACACGCCAGAAAAACTTTGTTTTGTTTTTTTTAACGTAACACGCCAGAAAAACTGATCCACACCGTTTAGAGAGTACAGCGAAACAATGGATGCCGGCACATATATGAGTTCAAAGTTTGTGGTTAGCCGATACTCGTGTCGAAGGATTAGTGATTGCCATATTTTCGATTAGTCTAGACTTCTACAATGTGAATTAGTGAATTGCCATATTTTTCGATTACTCTAGACTTTTACAATTAGAATTAGTTGGATGACGCGTGGACCAACACATGATGGATTGCATCCACTCTGTCAGAATGGATAATTAAGCTCATTTTGAACTTATCCATTGGGCAAGACTGAGACTGTATTCTTTTAAATATGCCCATTCAGGCATACATCCGCATAAACTTCTTTATTATTAGGATATATATGAAGCTAGAATGGAGGAGACATACAATCGACCAAACAAACCATAATAAGCTTCTAGAGTAACGGTACTAGAAAGGATTTTAGGAGAAAGGCTCACTGATTAACTGCGACGAGCATTTTGAGGAGCCACCTCTATAAATGGTTAGGAGAGTCCACACAAATACCCGCCTTTATTAATCATTCATAGAGGCAAACATCCTAAGAAGACCATCTCTGTTAATGACTATTTGCAGAGGCAGACATCTTAAGATGTCTTCCCCTATCAATCAAATAACATAGATTGACCTGCCTGCATTTGAAAATGGCTATTAATCAAATTTTAGATTTTTCGGAGCTCGTTAGAATTTATTTTAGAATTATTTTGGAGAGAATTCTGCTGAAATCTACAAGAATGGGCTCAGGTCAGTTTGGAAGACTAGCTCAGGGTAGTTTTTCAACTTGCTCCGATTGAGTTGGTTTATGATGGAGATTTTCTCCTTACTGTTATAAACTCCTCCACCAAGTTTCAAGTCCTTTTGAGATCGTTTGTTTGGCTTTTGACCTTTTCTCCTCTGTGGACTGAAAAAGCTTTTAGTTTCCTAGTCTATTTTTTTTATCTCCGTTCTCTTATATGGTTGGCTCTCAGTCATCTCCGATCTTCTCTAGGTCACCTTGTCACCTGTTGGCTTGTGTGATCTAGAGTTGGGAGCTAAGAAAGCACTTGGGGTTCATTTTGGGATATAGGCTAGTTTCTCATCGGAGAAATTTTATTTGGCTCCCATTCACCCTCTTCCTGCTCCCCTCTCCCCTCTGGTTGTCTGCACGGTCCTTCATTATGCTTTAGTTCAGACACCCAAATTGAGTGGGATGCAGTTATATATAAAAGGGAAATTGTTTGCTTGACTGTATGGACAAATAGAACAACCCTACTTCTACAATTGCAATAACCTATGAAGATTCTTGGTTACTTGTATCAGCGGATACAAACTCTTTATCCGAGGATGATGTGTGTACCAACACCGCATGGATTGAATCTACTCAATAAGAATGGCTAGTGAAATTTATTTTGAGCGTAACGCCAGGCTAGGCAAAGGGTGTTTTGTCTTTTTTTTTCAAATACACCCCATACATGTTGCATCCGCTAAATAGACAAATATACAGACTTATTTGTCAAATTACACGAATCCACTCTGCAGAAGATGTGGCCAACGAAACACACTCGATCTGAGCTTCTACACTAAGAGAGGCCTAGACGTCTAGTGGATACATTACATCTTTTATATGGCCCGGCCAGTAGTATCTATTGTTGTGTCTCCAAACAAACAACTTTACAGAGTTATTACCATATTTATTCCAAATTATAAGATATTTTGAGTTTTCTAGTAGATACATAGTAAAAATAATGTACTCTTTCCGTTCTAAATTATAAAGCATTTTGTATTTCTACGTACATAGTTTTTACTATACACTTAGATATATAATATGTCTAGTTGGTTTATTGGCCCGTTCGTTAGTTGGTTTATAGGCTAATAAGTTTAGCGGTTGTTGGTTTGTTGTGAGAAAAAAAATACTGTTTGTGTCTAGCTGTTGTTGGTTTGTTGTAAAAAAAATACTATTTATTAACTAAGTGATAAATTCTGACCGAAACCAACAAAGCGAACAAGCTGTGTATTCGTGCTCGAACTGTCATTTCAAAGTTATTGAAGGGCTACCTCATCCTCTTGGTCAAGGCGGGCGGGCGGCCACACGGGCGGGCAGAGGCAGGCAGGCTGGCAGGTACCCAATACAATCACAAGTCACGTAGCGCTGTGTACACATGCTGCTGCTGCGGCTAGCTATATACATTGCCTGAATGCCTGCCTGTTCTGTTCTGTTCCTCTCAACAGCCACTGTCACCACCACCGGCCCTCGCTAGCTCTCACAGCCGTGCCCCTCTCTTCAGATCGGCCACCGGCTGCTTGCTGCCTGCTCCGCTTGTCGCCATTGCTGGCGAGCGCGAGCTAGCCAGCTCCAGGCCTCCGGTCGAGCGAGCTGCCGGGATCCGACGGAGATAGCCTCTGCGGCGGCGGCGCGTCGTGCGCGTGGTTAGCGTTCTTGAGGCTCGGCAGCAGGATCGAGCGGCGTGACGACCGAGCGAGAACGTGCGTGCGAGCTCTTCTTCCGATCCGCCGCGATATGGGCGCCGTGAGCTGCCGGAGGCGGGCGAGCCGGCGCCGCTGCCACGCCGCCGCCCTCCTCGCCGCCGTCCTCTTCACCGCGGCCATGGGTAAGTGCGAAAGGCTATAGCTTTTTGCTGGGCTGGCCGTGCTTGTTCTTCTTTTCTCGCTTTTTGTTTTTGTTTGAGGCAAAGCAAAGCTCGTCAAGATCTTATTTTGATGCGGGAAGAGTGCGTGCATGTGTGGCCTTTTGAGCACGTACGCTGTCTCTTCGATTCCCTCTTTTTTAATTTCTGGTCTTTTTATGTGTTTCTATCCTACTTTCAACTCCATTTCGATGCCTGCCCTCTCTTAGAGTCTTGATTAGTTAATTAATTAGTTAATCCGAGGGGGTATTTTAATTAGGTTCCTCAAGGAGCTACCTAGGCCTTGACATGTTTACTTTAATTTCTTTCTACTAGGATTAGCAGCTAGCTAGATACTCATCTTTCTCCTGCATTAGTCTGTCTCCCCCTCAAGGAACCCAATAAAATATGCTAGTATGTGTTGTTCTTTCTTATCATCATGCATGCACTCTTTTGCTAGATACTCCTATAGATATAGGAAAGGTCTCCCTCCCTTAAAAAGTTAAAAAAAAAGTCCCCCTCCTTCCCTCTATCTTCTTGGTGACACCTTGCTGTAAAGCAATTAACAACAAGAAGGTACAAATTTTAACTAGCTAGCTAGGCATCATCAATCTAAGCCCGTGTTTAGTTGGGGAGAGTGGAATTTAGCTACCGTAGTACTTTTGTTTTTATTTGGCAATTAGTGTTCAATCATGGACTAATTAGGCTCAAAATGTTCGTCTCGTGATTTTGAACCGAACTGTGCAATTAGTTTTTTTTCGTCTACATTTAATGCTTCATGTATCGAAACATTCGATGTGATAGCTACTGTAACACTTTTTTAGAACTTTTTTTAACTAAACACGGCTAAACAGCTAATCTTAACTTACTAGTAGACATAATGTTGCCGTCCTAGTTTTGGAGGACTGGAACTAGGGTCTTTAGATTGGGGTTAGGAATCAGTATTTGTCACTGTAGTATTTTCATTTGTATTTGACAATTATTATCTAATCATGGTCTAACTAGGTTTAAAAGATTCGTCTCGTAATTTACAATCGTATAATTAGTTATTTTTTTTATCTATATTTAATACTCTATACATATGTCAAAGATTTAATATGATAGAAAAAGTAAAAAAACTTGCAATCTAAACAAGGCGTATAGTCATGTATGCCTGCATGTTTTTTTGGTTGGTGAGATTTCTGAAGTTACATTCAAATTTCGGTGTTTTCTTCTCTCTTGATGCATGCAAAACCAGTGTACTAGTAGCAATTTGCTCGCGCAAATCCATTCTCTTGTGTCTCCTCCATCCTCCGATCACATCAAGAAGTTGCTCACATCCAGAACAAATAACAACAGTCAACAAATAGTTTTTTTTTTCATCACTCCCTGCTGCTGCTACTAATTAAATATTCAAAGTTGTTTTCTCCAAAAAGATATTGCAAGGGTAGCCTATGTAGTAGATCAGTACTACCTAGATTAAATGAAACCCTCTCTCTGGAGTCTCTTCACCAACCAAACAGCGACGCCTTCCTCCTGCTTAAGGATGGCAACGGATCGGGTTTGGGGCGAATATCTGCGAGTTTCGGGTTCTACGGGTTTAAGTTTGGGGATGGTTTTTTATCCACGGTTTTCAGATTCGAGGCCCCGAAACCAATCGGGTTTGGTTTTCCACCAGTGGATATCCAATGGATATCCGAAATAAATCATTTGGAATTAAAACTCATGTTTTATAATATACTAATAATAATTTGTTTACTTAGATTATTAAATTTATTTAAAGTTGATTCATGAAAATATTTATTATTTGTTGCCTCTGGTTTATACATGTGAATATGTATATATATATATATATCCGCGGGTTTTGGGTATCCATTCGGGTTTCGGGTATCTGTTCGGGTTTCGGGTATCTGCGGGTTTGGTTTTGGTGATGGATTTCCACTCGAATCGGTTTTCGGGGCGGATTCGGATTTCGATTTCGGGTTTCGGTTTTGGGTGCACGAAGACTCCACCCGATCCGAACCCGATCCGTTGCCATCAGCTGCACTGCAGCCAGCTAGGGCCGTGTTTAGTTCGGCCGATTCAGCGCCAGCGAAATCACAGTGACATTTTGTTTTTATTTGGTAATAACTGTCCAATCGTTGACTAATTAGGCAGGCTCAAAACGTTTATCTCGTAAAGTACAACCAAACTATGTAATTATGTAATTAGTTTTTGATTTCATCAACATTTAGTACTTCATGTATGTACCATAAATTTAATGTGATAGAAAATCTTCTTTTTTTATAATGTCAAAGTTAGAAATTTGGTGTAACTAAACATGGCCAGGCGTCCTGTCCTGCTGGGCGCGCCAACCATGGCACTGGCACTGGGCACTGGCATTCTGACGAGGCTGGTCCAGAAAAGCACACACGATCGCGATCCAATTCATTGCTCACTGCACTCGTAGTAGTAGCTCTCACTCACTCGTACACGGACACACACGTTCATACGTAGACAGGCACGTTCGTTTGAACTTATCAGATAAAATATATTGTATTTTTTTATAATAAATTAGTTTTCATCGATTTATCGGCTGGTTTTAATACCAGCAGAACCGGAACGCATGCTGCTGCTTGCATAGGGATAGGAGGGACACGCTTCAGTGCAGGCAGGGAGACCAGCCGGAGAGAGAATCTGCCCGTAGTAGCTTGCATTGCTAGGCGGATGGATGGCTACGTGGGCGTGGGCGTACGTGCCGGTCGTGCTGCACAGATAATACGCTTTGGTCTCACTCGCTTTAACGGGCACCAACTGTATGCTCCCTACTAGTAGCTAGCTAGCCTAACCACAAAAAAACTCGTCAACTCATCCTGCATGCACGTGGCACGGTCTAACAATCTCTCACCACAAGATGTAAAACTCATATCTAGCCTGTTCGCTAGGATGGTTTCAGTCCAGCTTACCGGTCGGCCAATAGTATTTTTATCTCATAATAAATCAGTATTAATCAGATTTATCAGTTTAGAAACGCACCAGCGAACAGGCCGATTGTACTGCATGCAGGTATCTCTGTTTGGAGCACATGAACAATTCACTAATATATATAGATATATAGTGTATATATATGTCTTGTCTAGCTCTAGACACTGAAGTGCTTTATTTATTTGGTCTATGTGCATGTCTCCGATCCATTTTGCATTTTCATTATTATTTTCTAAATCGGCAGAATGGTATTGTATTAGCCAGTAACAAATTAATTCTTCATATATATGCAAGTTCTAAGGCCCTGTTGCCTTCGCTGAGAGTTGTCTTACTGTTATTTACTAGTACTGTACGCATTATATATATCATATTAGTTCTGACGGTGTACGACTACGTACTGCAGTTGTGGTTGCAGGGCGGCCGGTCCGTTTGCCAGCGGCGGCGCTGGCAAGGAGGCGAATAGACTCGTCGACGGCGATGGCCAACGGCGCCACCAGGAGGGCAGCGACCACCACGTGGACGAGGGACGCCATGGACGTGCTCCCAGCCCGGCGGCGGTGGCTCGTGGGGCCGGGGTCGTCGCCGCCGACGTGCCGCGCGCGGTGCGGGCGGTGCACGCCGTGCCGGGCCACCCGCGTGGTCATCCAGCCCGGGGTGGGACCCCAGTGGGAGTACTACCCGGAGGTGTGGCGCTGCAAGTGCGGCAACAAGCTCTTCATGCCATGATCCCCATGCGTGAACGGCCGGTCGGCAGGCAGGCGCCCGTGTTATTGAACAAGACGGTCGAGACGACGACGACTGGAAAAAGTGCCGGAGTGCCGTACGTTGATTATTTTTTGCCAAAATTAAGGGTGCGTTCGTACGAAACGTACAAAAGGGGAGGACGGATGATGGATTTGGATGGTCAGAGGGCGATTGGTTAGGTAATTAGGCGTGCGTAAGTGATGCTGTCTGTCTGTGTATATGCAAATCAGGATCTTATATTAACTAGTACGTCTACATGTTCTTCTTTCTTTTGTTTCTTGGTGAAACTGTTTTGCATTTCTTTTCTTCAACAGAATCAATGAAGGTCCTTGTAATTAAATATATACTTTCCACATGGGCTTTTATTTAATTTGCATATGTTGAGATACAGTACTATGTAGCTAGGGTGCCTGCCCTGGAAAGTAGTACTGGCAAAGTGGCAACATCCTCCCAACCTAATTATGTTCCTTTAATATGCATGCATGGGACCGAATTAATATATGCGCGAATGCTGCATTGACGATTTTTGGAGATTTACTTACATATATCCAGCCACAAATTTGGATAGATCTGGATCATCGTTCATGAATGGTACATGTTGTTCTTCGCTAGCTGTGGTCGTAGTTGTCATCTTTATTCATCACAAAAAGTCTTTTCAGTGGACACACCCGTACCCGAAGCCGCGAGATCGGCCATCACATGGATGTTGCATGCAATTATTGCAACACTCTTGTTCGTAGAATATTGCTCCGATCCCACTTCAAAATATAGCACATTTATTTATTTTATTTCTTCTTCTAAGTTAAATTTGTTGAACAATTTTGATCGAAATTATAGAAAAATGTATCAACATATACAATATTCAAAATCAGTTGCATTAAACTCTCCATGAACATATCTTGATGGCATATTTGAAATATATTTGAACTTGTATACGCTAATCTATTTTCTAAAATTTAGGTTAAAAATAACGAAGTTTGTCTTAGATCAAGCTAAAATTAAATGTAATTTATTTATAACACGTACAGGTTACTTGCAAATGGAAAAAAAGATATATCAGAGGGGATCTATTTTGGAGTACAAATGATATGTGTTAGGTTACCTTAATTTTGCCCATGGGTAACTAAAATTCCTTTGCCTCGCTGCATGGCCAACTATAACTTTGTTTTGGAAGAGTCATCGGTGTTATTAGAGCATCTCTAATCATTTCTAAAAAAACATTTGGTAAATCATTGAGTTTTCAAATCGCTAAAAAATTTGGCTTTCTCAAACTATTTTCTACTCACTCCCAAAAGCTAGTGTAGAAGACAATATTTTACATAGGAATCTTGAACAATTTGCAAATTACCCTAGCAATTTTTATATACTTTCTTTATCTCTCTTGTACATTTGCATTAGAAACCCTCTTTTCTTCTTGCTCTTTTCCACGTCCTTCCACCTCCATATCAGCCGATTCTGTATATTCGATCGATTTTGCAAGTGTGAAAAGATTGAGTGTGGAGACAAGAGGTTGTTGAAGATAGTTTTTTTTTCATTCTCGTTTGTAAAATCAAGGTCGGGAGTAGACTTTGGAAACACTTAGAGATACTTTTAGAGCGAGCTTACATGCATGTCTTGCACCAGGTATTGCCTTTTGATCTATTTTTGTATTTCTCGGTTTGTCGACGAATCAATCAATATAATAATGTGGAAATGCAAGAGATAAAGCTAGCCACCACCATATTACGTTGTGTCGCAAAGCCGAGACACAGCGATAGTGCCCTGAAAGAACTTGGACCAAGTGTCGACCTTTTGTGCCGGTAATGCATGATTGTACCGTGCAATTAACCCCTGCTCGTCACATGCGGCACACTCATGTCAGCTCGAGATCGTCGACCATCACATTGCGAGGATACTATAGACCAACGGCCACAATGCCACGCAACTCCTCTACTTTCACTATAGCCTTCCCTCTCTCCCACTCCTTGTTTAGTTCATCCCCTTAAGTTTAGTCCATATCCCATCTGATGTTTGGATACATACATGGAGTATGAAATATAGACTAAAAAAATAACTAATTGCACAGATTGCGACTAATTTGCGATACGAATTTTTAAGCCTAATTAGTCAATGATTTGACAATATGTGCTACAGTAACATATGCTAATGACGGATTAATTAGACTTAATAAATTCGTCTCGCGGAGTACTAAGGACTTATATAATTTTTTTATTATTACTATCCGAACACTCCACACCCCTAAACTTTAGTCCCTGGATTTAAACAAGGCAGCTCCTACGTAGTGTGAGTGTCTTTCTTCGTTCTAAGGCTGCGTTTGATAGAGATCCTGCTCTAGTTTTTTCATACACTGAGTAATAATTTTTATATCTTTTTTTAGAAAAATAAACAAACTAGAAGGCAGTAAAACTTACTTTTTTTAGTTTCATCTACGTAGTGTAGAACTAGAAAGGAGACGTAACCAGGCAAAACAGTACCAAAACAGGATCTTGCTGTTCTATTTGCTCTTGCATTGCTTTAGGTACTTAGGCATCATGCATGTAACTACCTTTTAATTTTACCCCTAATATATAGTGTCATGTGCATGCATGTGACATTTTCATTGGGTCATTCTCAAATTCCTCCGCACACATACAGTTAAAATTGTAGTGACTCACATAGCTAAGGGCCTAATAATAAGGCATTCATGATCCATGGTGTTGCATCAGCTGGAGCCGATAATGTTGCAGGCCTCTGAGAGCCCATATCGAATGGTCAACACTCTTCGAAGGAATCTATGACTAGTCAAAGTAGAGGGGAAATAAAACGAGAGAAAGATGACGCGTTGTAATAATTAACAAAATCTCTAAAATGTACAAGGGGAACTCTCACATACTACTCGGAACCTCTATTTCTGAGTTGTGATAAACTGATACTAGGGGTTCCAAGAGGTGGTGGTCTTTCAAAAAGACCCCTTGCGCTCTGTCTTTTGCTTCTCTGAATGCGCTGTAAACACAGACACGATAGGCAACACAAACAAATACTTTTAGCGACACGCAGACAAATATAGCAGGCAACGCTAGCTGCGCACCGTACTATACAACATGCATGCATTAACAGGTAATTAATGAAGAGCAAACTAGTCGATCATTTATATATAGTTGCTCGCCCTAGCCTAATGTGCCTGAAAAAAAAAATCTAATAAGGTGTAGTATATATATGCAAGTCGTCTGCTACTAGTTGTGCTCTCAACTTTCCATTTGTCATTTGACCAATATTGCAATAGGTACCATATACGTACGTACTCTATCTACATATACGGAGTACAACGTATGGTTTGTCGTCCCTAGCTTGTACTGTGATAAATAGTGTGTGTGTGTGAGAGAGAGAGAGAGAGGGGAAGGTCCGCACTGGGCAGTACCCCGTCCATGACTGAAGGAAAAGCCCGTTGTAGTGATCCTGTAGTCATGAACTCATGATGGAAAATTTTGGCTCCGAGCGCGCCATCTTCTCCGGGACTCGACGTGTGCGGCGCCCAGGCCGCGAGAGCTGAGGTCCAAACCACACCAGCTGCCTGCATACCTTTTCCAATTTCCATCCTCGCTCTCCTCCGACGACACCGGCAGGCTCCCGCTGCGATCAATGGAGTATTCGAGTGAGTCCACGCCGTGCTTTATTCCTTGTCCCCCCGGCCCTCCCTCCCTAGCTCGCCGTCCCTTTCTCCCTTGCAACAGTGCCCGGTCAAGCAAGCAAGCTAGCATCGTCGTCGACAAAGGATCGTCGGACACAAAGCGTAGGGTCCGCTCGATACATCATCACCCTTATTAGCTTTCTCTTCGTTCTCTGCTTTTATTTTCCGCAGATGGAATTGCTTGTTGCTTTCTTTCCACACAAGCATTGCATTGTCGTCCATCACATGTACTCTCCTTTTTTAATAGTATAAGTCGTTTTAATTTTTCTAAATACATATTTTTTTACTATGTATCTAAATATATATATATCTAAGTACGTGTATTCTCTGAATAAACCAATTCATAAAATTGTTCTAAGTCAAACTTTTATATGTTTGACTGGATTTATAGGAAAAAATGCACATATTTGTGATACCAAATAAGCATATTATGATAATATAGTTTATGATATACCAAATGACACCAATTTGGTGTCACAAATCTTGGCGCTCTTTTCTATATAAATTTGGCTAAATTTGAAAACAAGTTTTGACTTTACACAACTATTTAGGGATGGAGGGAGTAGCAAAATCAATGTATCTAAAAAGACAAAACCCTAAGTTGATTTTTGTTTCATTAGAGACAAACCTTTGACCAACAACTACTCTTTATTAGCATAGAATTTTTATTCTAATTCATGATGTTACATTCCTGATATTTTCACAAAAAAGAGATGACAAGAAATGTCAAATTGGACCAAATACATACAAATATGATACTAACTAAATGTCATTAGACTAGTACGTAGTGCAATATATTTTGCATTAAACCTATCTAGAAATACAAATGTTGACACTACTTTTTATAAAGTTAATTAAACTTATAACTGATGATTGATGAAAAGCTTGATGTGCACTCTTTTTAGGACCAAAGGAGATGCTTATTTGTGATTGAAAGTTTGCATTGTAAAAATGAATTGTTAATAGTGTAATTGTTAGTCGCCATCAGGTTGCAAACAATATGAATGTCTTACATTCTCAGAAAGAGAGAGCACTTATTAGGGTCTGTTTGCTTCAGCTGATAGCTGTGAAAAAAACTATTCTGAGCTGTAGAAACGTTGCTATGAGTTATGTACTGTGAAAAATTGGAAACTATTTTGTTGAAATAATTATAAAAACCTACTCTTGAAATGGCTATGGAATGTCTCTTTATTTTTACCCATTATTTGGAAAAGCCAAAAGCAGGTTTCACCTGTTTGGTCGGCGTTTTGCTTGTTGACACCATAAGCACTTTCACACTTGTCAGTGCTAGGGTTCCAAAAAGAATAATGACATT